GGCGTCTGCTTCAGCGAAAATGGGGACCTCATGGAACTGAACAGGTTGGTTGTTCTGGGGAGGTGGTCGATCATCTTCGAATCGTGGAGGCAGTGATGATGACGAAGCAGTTTCTCCGTCTCTATAGTCAGAAGGCCCGAGCATATTAATGGAGGGGGTTGTATTATGGTCGGCGGTACCGGCGTTGTCGAGGCCGACATTATTGTCGGTGATGTTGTTGTTGACGTTGATGATACAGACGTTCATGTTTTTTGCAGTCTGGTCAGCCATGACAGTCGGGGATTGTTTAGTTTTGGTATCGAGTAAATGTAAGATGGGGAAGCAAGTTTCTCACAGACGGCGCCACTGATCTTATCTAAACAGAAATGGACCGTCACAGCTAGCTCGGGCAAAAGTGGAATGAGATGGAGGGAGGGAGTACCTGCAAGACACTCCGATTGCAATGTAAGTTGCAGATTAATCAAGCAAGTGTTAAGAGTTAAAGGTGTTGAATTGAATACCTGACCCTCTTAGGAGAGAGGGTGTTTATAGCCCCTAACGTTGGGCCAAGGTTCCCATTATTGGGCCATGTTGAAGCCCAATAATAAGAACTGTCAGAGCTTACGTGTGTATAGAGTCCAACAAGTGAACTCCCTCCTGGTCAACTGCTTCGCGAGAATAGGGTTTGACCCGTGATTCCCAGAGGGCAGTTTAAGATGACTGTCGTGGGATCATGGGCCATGTCCTCCAACGGTCGTGTGGGGAGTTGCCCAACGGTCCCTAACTTGGGTTGCTTTTGGGTTTCCCATTCGAAGGGCAAGTGTAGGCCCAAGTGAATTTTTTTTGGAATAATCATGTATTAAAATTTTTTCCGCAAATAACCATGTTTTGGAAAAAATTACGCAAATAACCATGTTTCAGAAGACTTCCCAAAGGAGGAGCCATCTCACTTGGCGCCTCCACTCACAAGTTTGTCCTAGGCGCCATTCCACCAATGAAGAACTACCATTTGAAGTATACCACTTGAAGAACCAAACTCCATACCACTAAGTCGTGTAGTGGTTTTTTTAAAAGCAGTAGTAAAAACCCCTCCCATGCCCATTGCTCGAACACGACCATGATGCTCTTTTTCAAATAGATTTCCAACAACATCATTTAAAGAAATTTCAGAAGAAGCCTCAGGATTTTGATTTAAGTGACTGTCAATTTTTTCTACATAAAATACAAATAAATAATGGTTATCTTTCACTTACTCATAATATAAAAAATTAACATAAACTTAAAACATATAAGGATATATAGATTATCAATTTTCCCTTATCTCCTTATATTTTCATTCACATAGCTCCCCTCTTTCTTTTTATGGATCATGTTCTATATTTGACCCCGACTGATAGTCTTATCCGTCTAAATAATCTACAAAAATAATACACAATATCATTATGTATTTAACTCATGCCTAAGCGTTTAGATAAAGATACTGATAAACTTACTAGCTTATGTCTTCTCCTCGCCAAAGACTTGACACCACACGTATGAGAAAAGACTTGTTTGTTTCTTATTTGTTGATTTTTATCAAATTCCATAATAATACGCAAAGCATTTGGCTTGTCATTGACATCCTTACAACTTAAACACAATTTTTGAATTGTACCATGCTCTTTATCTGTAAGATATAAAATGTTATTTGACTAAAACCATATCAGATAAAAAATATCAACATATTATACCTAGTGCATTTACGAACCAATGATGTGTAGATATTTGACGACGCTCAATCTCTTGTTGTACCGGTTGAGAGGATGTTTGGTTAGGTAATTGAGATGATACATTAGTTTGAAGACGAGAATTTCCAGCTCCTTGTTGCGAAGGTTGTGACAATGTCCAGTTTGGTAATTGAGATGATACATTAGCTCTATGATGAGACATTCCAGCTCCTTGTTGTGAAGGTTGTGAGGATCTTTGATTAGGTAATTGAGATAATACATCATCAATAGTCCAATTAAAACAATTTGAATAAACATAATATTAAAATAAATTAAGTATTCAAAATAAAACTTTATGAATGTTGGCATACCGCATGTTATTTTAAATCGTAAAAGTGTATGTTTATATAAACAACAAAATCATAAGCAGAGAAGGTTGTACTGAATACATTCACGTCCTGCCCCATATGTGCATTTCTATATCTGAAATCTACTAAGCACCTTCCAGGATATCAAGAAATTATCTTATTCAAAAGGAAAAGGTGAAGGGGATAAGCAGAGACTGTAATATTGGATAGAATCTAAAATTAACAACAATAACTTTTAACATCTATTAGGTCTAGCCTAATAAAATACAAATATTTATTGTGTCCGACTTGAGAATTTTAGTGCCACCACCTTGTTCTATCAATAAATATATACTAACTTGCATAATTTAGTGGTAGCAATACTTAGTTCATCATCTACACAGGCACATTGTCCTTCTTCTGACATAAGGTCATCTCCATCATTGTTATTATTAAGAAGGTTTAATTTGAAATAAGTGATATAATCTCCAGTTCTATATAAGTTTTTAAAATTGAATGTTTAGATATATTAACAACAACAACTTTTAACATCTATTAGGTCTAGCCAACAAATTGCGGAGCAGCAAAACTGCAGATTACGGAACTGTCGATTGCAAAACTGCTACGGAATTGAGCCAAAAGTGGGTTTTCAAAAAATTAGGGTTTATACCAAAAGAGGAAATTCAAGTTTGACGTAGTACCATACCATTGATAACATGATAAATCATTAAAATTATCCAGTACCTAAACTATACAACAATTTCATAAATTGAAATAAAAAAGGCATAAATGTAAAGAGTAAAACGACAACGAGAAGAGGGATGATGGAGAGAATTAACAAATAAATAAGACATAAAGAAGAAGATGAAAGCGACGGTGAACTGAGAAGATAAACCATCGTAATCTTTAATTAATTGTGGCGGTTTCTACTAACCGCCGTAATTTAACTGCCATAATTTACATAATATTTTGTAGTGACTAATCTCGTTAAAGAGATCTGGATAAATGCCTCCGTTGTGTCAGCTGGTCATGATGAAGTCATTCACTCCTATGTCAATGGATTTAATTTCTTCATTACTCCATCACTGATTGTTATGACAATCAACTGTCAAGAACACAACAGGTAGCTGTGTTGAATACTATGAATTCAATAATGTCTACTCAACCCAATTCCATTAAATTCATGAAAACCACAATAAGCCCACTAGTCCTGGTTCTCTACTTTCTATCGTAAACTTTTGGTTTCAACTTCTAGTGGCAAGTATTCGCCTAAGAGAGAAACAATTAGAAACACTTACTTGGTATGACAAGCATCTCTTGTACTTTCTCACCTATAATTTCAGAGTTAATCTTTCTCTTACCATTTTCAACTTCTTGTAGGAAATGATAAGAATTTCTCGAGAGGAAATGAATTTCCTTATACCATATGGAAGAGTTCTTTCTGAACTTTTCTTTAAGTTAAGGATACAAGAAAAATGATAGATTGGGACGGTTATTTTGGCTGATTACGACGGTTAAAACCGTCGCAATTTACAATCTACGACGGTAGAAGTACCGTCGCAGAATCGTGCGTCCCCAGCTTATTTCGCGACGGTTGCAAAAACTGTCACGCACAACAGATAGCGACGGTTATATACCGTCGTGAATTTGACTTTATTTTTTGTTTTTGTTGTTGTTTGCGACGGTTATTCTACCGCCGTAGGTTAGAAATTGCGGCGGTTTTAACCGTCGTAATCTGATTTATAAATTTCAAATAATATTTTTATTTAAATTATTATTTAGTAAAATAATTTTAAATATAATATTATTTTACTATAATATTTTACTATTATATTTAAATTATTATTTACTTTAATATTTTTTTATTTATAGTATTTTTATTTTATTTTCTATCACTTTTCAACATAATAAAGTTAATTACAATAAAAACATTTAATATCAAATAATCATCAATAATATCAAAAAAATGTGATCAAAGGTAAAAAGAAGTGCAAATTTTACCAATAAACAAGAAAAGTCCCACATTGATTAAAAATATGAAAACTTAAACATTTATAAGGGGGATAATCCACACATATAGCACTTTTAAAGTTTTAGGTTAATATGTTATGTGTCTATGATAAATGTGTATTGTAAAAAAAATGCCCCAAAATCACTCTCATGCATGATGCACCAATTTTATTATGTTAAAAAGCAAAAGCACCGATGAAAAATGGGCAGTCACATTTTAGAGAATGTACATTTTTATTGTCTCTTACTCCAATGAGTATAAAAAAAGTCCCTCATGCATTTTCTCTATGAAGCTGGCATCACTGCTCACAGTTTGTGCTTACATTTTTAACTTAAAAAGACTTTTGTATAAAAGTATCAAAGAAGTATAAAAGATGCATAAGGCAAGAATTGTAAATACATACTGAGTACATATCAAGTAGTATGACCAGCATATTAGAATCATAGAATCAATTTTTGAAGTATATATCTAGGCTTCCTAATCATAGAATCAAACTCCATTATTAAATTATCTAAGCTTCATGGTCATAGAATAGAATAAACAATACACACTAAGTATCTAAGCTTCATAATATTGAAAATCACAATGTATTGAATAGAGCATTTAAATACTCACTAGGAACAGAACCATTGAGAAGTTTCATCCTATGTCTGCAATAAATCATATCATTGAAAGAACTTCAAAACAGAAGAGCCTTAGTCCTCTTACAGTTATAGCAATTACTTCTGTACTTCTGTACATTTTGGTTAATCCTGAGTTTACTATTTATAAAGATTTTAGTGAATTTCATGCATTATCTCAAATCTGCTAGACACTTTGGATCAGATAAGATTAAAAGAAACAAGCTCAAATGTTCATATTTTATCAAAATACATAATCCAAAAAACAAAACAAACAGGTCCAACATTAGACATAAAATTCATAAAAAGCAGAAATGAAATAAATAAAAATTGAGCATTAAGAATCAGAATCACTTTCATCATTAGAGTAACCTTTGTTGATCTTTTTCATAGCTGATTCAAAGATGCTCTCAAGCTCCCTCAGAACGTCCAACAACACAAATGTTTCATGGTCTTCGTCATCAATCAATTCTTCTCCCTTTACAATTGAAGAATTGATCTTCACTTTGTCAACGGCAGTGAGCTTGGAAGTTACGCTATTATCATTCATTATTTTCTTCATGTTATACACATAGTCATCTAAAGCACGCATTGCTCTAGCCTTCTTCACATGCTTCATATCTTCGGACTTGAAGTGCTCAGCTTCCTGTATCATTCTCTCAATTTCTTCCCTCGACAATCTTCCATTCTCATTTGTTATTGTAATATCTTTCTTATTACCACTTGTTTCTTCCTCTGCAGAGACTTTTAATATACCATCAGCATCGATAGAAAAGCATACATGGAAAGGAAGGCCACGTGGTGCACAACGAATTGAGAGATTAAACAATCTCTTTGCATCTGCAGCAATAAGAGTTTGTTTTGTTCTCATGAAAGCTGAATAGAAAAAGAACTAAAAATTAAAGTATATACAATGGAGGAAGATAAAAAAGGTAAATTACCAAAAACAATGTTTGTTGGGTTTGAAGCAGCCTGATTTTTAGCAGCTTCGCCAATCAACCTTTGATCATTCGTAAAAGCAACAAAAGAAGGAGTGGTTTTGTTTCCTTGATCATTGTGTATGATCTCTGCTCTATTGTTTTGATCATTCCATACAGCAACACATGAATAGGTTGTGCCAAGATCAATTCCTATAGCAGGTCCCTCATATTTTTTTGCCATTCTGATTTCAAGAAGATGAATAATATTTTCAATTCACTCTTCTTTTGTTCACAGAGATATATGGCCATATAACATTCCCAATATTGCATTTTATGTTTTGGTAATACCATTGAGTCAAATCTACAGTAAAAGATGCTATTAGACAATTAAAATGTTGCAGCCAATGATTAAATGATTTGAGATATTATTAGCATTCAATTAATGGCTTGCTGATGAAATGAAACGTTGCAACCATGAATCATCCCTTCCAAAGTGAGGTATTCGTACCTAAGTTTCTGACGAGATTTCTATCTGATTTTCTCACCATCTTCATCAATTTGAAGAGCCTTCGGAGCTGCTCTGACGGGTAATTTCGATTCTCTATTTGTCATTACCTCCGCGTTTAATCGGAATTTTGAGATTTAAAGTAGCAAAAGTGTTTTGTTGTTTCAAACTCTTTTCGATCTAAATTTATGATATGATGAAATGATTGCTAAAGAAAAATCACGGAGGTAATTGAAACCTGAGATTGAAACATTGAGAAGAGCGACCAAATCACGAACGCATTCGAATAGAAGTGGAACCGTGCAGCGAAGCTTTGTCAAAAGAGAAACGTTGAAGCTTGAGACAGTGGATGAATGAAGTTTGTTGATGAAGCCTGAGATGTTATTCACAATACAGTGTTGACATAGTGAGGTCATCGGAATTTGAATCAAGACGACAGAGGATGACGCGAGATCGAGATGGACGAATTGAGCGAGATGAGCAGAGATTGAAAGATTCTGAGGGCGTGTGGAGGCGTTGCGAAGTGGCTCATCATCGATTTGAATAGGCAAAGAGAGAAAGATGGTTGAACTTTGACAGAGCGATGGAGGAGTTGACGAAGGCTCGAAGCGAAGATGATAGACGGAATCAGAGGCATTAACAGAGAGATTCGAGAGAAGAGATTGGAGAAGCGTTTCTGTTGATTGTCGAAGGCAGACTGAAGCTGTGATGAACGGAGCAAGGTGACAGAGACAGCGTCGGAACAGAATAAGCAGTGGTGAGAGCGGCCGCGATTTTGAGAAGGAGAGGAAGTCGTGTTTTAAGAAGAAGATGAAACAACTTCTTAACCCTAGCTCTATTTCATCAAACGAAAAATTTGTTTTTTTCTTTTCTTTTTTATTTTATTATTTGTTTTATTAAATAAAAAAATATGAAATAAAAATAATGCTTAAATTTGAGAAAAGAAGTGAAATCGTAATAAAGAAGAAAAATATAAAGGAAATTGTAATTTAATAAATAAAATTATGAAAATCTTAAAATAATATTGATGGGTGTGAAAATTTATTTTGTTGGTAATTTATTTTATTATTTATTATTATTATTATTATTATTATTATTATTATTATTATTATTATTATTATTTTTATTATTATTATTATTATTAATAATAATAAAAGAGAAAAAGAAGGGGAAATGAAAGAAAAAAAGTGGGAAAGTAAAAGAATAAAAAAAAGTAGCGATTATGATTGGCTAATGTAGTTACGACAGTTCACCTAATTGTCGCGGATGTGAAAAGAGGGCGTTTTTTTGGTAACTGTCGCAATTATGTTACTCATAATGCTTGAAAATCTACGACGGTTGAGCCTAACCGTCGTGACAACTGTCGCAATTCAGGAATAAGGACGGTTTTGTGGGAACTGTCGCAATTTATGTGTCGTAAATCTCTTTTTTTCTTGTAGTGTATAGTTAAGGGTAATGTTGAAGTTGAGCGGATTGAGAAGTTTGAATTTGTGGAATAGTTTTCTCTGTTGTCTTTTTTTTTTATTATCAATGAAATGTTTCATTTTTCTATTATTGTCTATTCTTGTTTATTGTTAAGAAAGATTTTGAAAATTACGAATTAACAAAGACATGGAATCTCGAAAAGATGCTAAGTGATAAATCATTTAAAATTTTTTAAATGTGGTAATGGGGATTCAAAGCGAGTTACCTTATAGCTATATTATTGTGGTTCAACAAAAAACTGAGAGAATAGGGTTATTATTTGTTTTGTGTGTAAAAAATGACGCTCAGTTATAGCTTTGTTAGCTCGGTTGTTTATAACACTGATGTAAAATATTGTTTATTTTATTAAAAAATCAAATATGGTGCTCCCAAGTCATATACTCTCGATTTTTAGCATTATCGAGATGAAAGCATCGTCATAAAAAGTGTTATTCATTGTAGTGTATTATCGTACTTATTGAGATATTTTCTATTTATGATTTTATAATTGTAATGTTATGTTTGTAAAGGCAGGGGGACTATAACCCTAACAAAGGGGCGAGAGCCATGTGTCCCCCCCCCCCCCCCCCCCCCTCACTCATGAGGAATCACCTTTCCCTAATAACATATCACTCGACAATAATGGCAACATGGGAAAAAAAGTTTCTTAGTCAGAGTGAAGTCAGGGCCAATAACTAATCCATATCTCCCTAAGAAATAGAGAGTTAGCGGTCCATCGTTGATTGAGTGAGTGGTGATCCTTCTCAAGGAAACCCTATGTCGAAATGACTCTATAAATACTTATCCCATATCAGGAGAGAGGATAAATTTTAACTCACATAGATCATATCCTACGCATTATACCCCAGGCCCAAAGCTTATACATAGAATCTCTCATCTCATGAAAAGATGTCCTCTAAAACATCATAAACACCACCATACAGGGCCTCTAGCCACTGCAACAAAGCTCTAATAACCTTAAATTATTATAAGCCTACTAAGGCCTCTAAGTATCACTTACCCTCGTAGGTGTTGGTGTAAGCCCTAAAGGCCAATAGTTTTGCTACTTGTATCAAATTATTTATTAATAATAAAATGCATTTCTTTATTATGTTTGTTTTTTCAAAAATAATAAAGTCCCTAGAATAGGTAGTTTGTTTAATTAAATGGTAAGTGTGACTTAATCTTAAGATCTCAATAAACATAGGACATTATTCTTAAAGTAATTGTAGTCGAGCTTTGTTGTAAAGTGGGATAACATTAAAGCATTGAGACTATTATGTGGATACACTGATGATCATATCTTATAGATCATGAATAAAGAGTTATCAAGTCTTAACATATGTATGCATATTAGGAGTAATATTTATACTAGATTGATCTTCTATGAGAATACTACATAGAAAGTTGTGCAAAGTGTCTTAAGTTATTCTCATGGTGATTGTTCTTGCTAAACAATAAATGGGTGACTTCTATGCTAGTTGAAGGATATAAAGGAGATCCTCAACAAGTGGGAGTGAATTGTTTATGATATTAAGGAATTTGGAGGGTCGCACAAGTATGTGTCAGCTCCAAGAGATGTGTCTTACTTACCACTCAATTGGGAGCCTATATATAGAGGTATATGGACCCCATTGATCACTGCATGTAACTGTTGTGACTCTCCATCATACATAATTGAGTTGCCATTAAGGTAAGAAACGTCTATCGTTGCCATTATTCTTGGAGAATTTATTTGTCCTCCTTAGCCTTCTATCCATGTTTTGCCTCTCTCCTAGCCTAGACAATTGATCTATGTATGAACATAAGCCCCACGAACATATGACTTTTATCTGAGGCCTTATGTTCGGTCAACATAAATATTGATCTTTTGCTCCGGGTCCGGCTTCTATAATCGGATGATGGTCGATCCCATACCTCGGCATACGTGTCACTCACGCCCTAGTTTCCCAATAGTCACCTAGTTTTCTTAGGTATAATTATTACTAAGGCGATTTTTTGAAACCTATACACGTTTCCTCTTCTTTAATAGTCACTTCCCATAACTATCTTCTCCAAGTAGTCAATTCACCTTCTGAGTCTGTGATCATTAGTATCCTCTTTTGACTCTTTTTGTCGATATCTATGTTGTTTTTGCTAAATACTTGTCTATGAGTGTTTGGTTCATCTTTTTGTATAGATATTGATTCTTTTTTTTCTTGAACCCTTAACTATGATTTGTGGTTTGAATTTTTACCTTACCTTAAAGAATAGGTAATATTCACATTATGATATGGTTGAATTCAAGTTTGGGAGAGAATTGTTTGCTTGCTCTTGTGTGTATTGCTATGAGGTCGAGAAAGAAAGAGAAAACGAAAGAAAAAGAAAGAAAAAAAAACGAAAAAGAAAGAAAAAAGAGAAAAGTTTTGAAAAAAAAACAAAAAGAGTTCGAATAATATTGTGATAATAAGTGATGTGTGTCGGATAGCGCGCTTAGTGCAGTTTAGGTCGGTTTAATATGTAAATATCGCGCAACCCGCTTAGCATAGTAAGCCCACTAAGCACGATCTGCTGAGATTTATTATATAACTTCATTTTCAGTTCTTTTTTTGTTATGATTTTGAGGAAGTTTTTGCTCCTAACTTCATCAACCTCTAATTTTGTTAGGATTAGCTTAGAGTGTGAGGGAAAGGTCCCTCTCTATGTGTTTTAATGATATCAAAACGGTTATTACTCACTCTCCATTTGGGTTGGTCCTATGAACAATCTTGCTGTGAAATGGTTGGAATGAAGATCTCTCGAAACATTCTTTTTTGGGAAATTTAATGTTTGCGTCGACTCAAAGATATGTGTGGTCGGCTCATCATTCTCAACCGAGCTCAGAATGTGTCGCATCGACCCTTCTGGTTGACTCAACCTGGGAATCAAAATATTCAACTATTGCATCGATGCAAGCCCTGTAGCGGTCGACGCACTATACTTCAAAGTGGTTTTCCTCCACCTACAGGATGTGTCATGTCGACCCTTCCGATCGACTCAATATGGGAATCAAAATATTCAAATATTGCACCGACGCAAGCCCTGTAGTAGTCGACGCACTACACTTCAAAATGGCTTTCCTCCATCTGCAGGTTGTGTCGCGTCGACCCCCCTTACTGCTTGAGTCGACTGCTCGGTGCTTTCAACTATTTTTCTGCTATGCTTTTAGGTCTTGACTATTAGGTAACATATATATATATATATATATATATATATATATATATATATATATATATATATATATATATATATATATATATATATATATTGACTATCATCATTTCAGTTCAACAATAACTAGTGAAATATACACATAGTGCTCATCATCTTCATTCTCTCTTCTCAAAAATCAACATCTACACATAATCATGGTTGTTGATTCAAGAAAAGTGTTATGGTGATAACATTCATATCAAGGATTCAATTCAGATTTTGATTGAGAAATTGTTGGTTGTTCTTGAATAAAATCGTTTGGATTTTCTCCTCCAAGATTCCAATTGGTGCGGGGGTTTTTTCACAAGTCTCCGTTTCATTGAATCCAACCGAGTGAAAGGATTAAGAAACGGTGAGTTTTTTTAATCAAGTAGCGGTAATTGGAGGATTGTGAAGATAGATTTGGGGTCAAATTGCCTGTGATTTAAATCAGCTGAGTGATAGGATTAAGAAATGGTGGGTTTGCTTAATCAAGTTGCGGTAACCGGAGGTTTGTTCCAAGAATTTGGCACTTGGTTTGGCTCAAACCAAGGAAAGGGAAGAAGACTGTTACGTCAGCAACATTGGTTTGTTTGTATTGTGAACTATCTCTTCTCTTGTACCATTTGCAACTTAATATCAAATATCTCAATTCTAGATTCTAGAATTGGAGGAAGACGTACCCTACACGAGGACGACAAGGGGAACTGCCTTAACAAATTATGTGTTCTTCTTCTTTTTCTTTATTTCTTTACTTGATTACTATAATTTGTGGAAATTAACTTGTTAAATTTGCTTGTACTGAAATTATGGTGTGTTGAGATCATTTCACAACATTGGTAACTATCCATTTGATTGATACCTAAGAAAACTCACCAGTACAATATAGTAAAATCAAACCTAAGGTATTTTGCACATAAGGTATTTGACAAATTTACTCATCCACAAATTATTCATTGTGTTTAGTTTTATCTTAATCAACTTATTAGAAGTAATTCATACTCATTGAGGGTGTATAAGTGATTGACCAATTGAGTAAAAAATATTGATTCTTACTTTGTCACCTTGTCCCATACGGTTACGCATATCCGATCTTTTCAATAGAGGATCGTTTAGACGATTGTAGATTCCAGGAGCTTTCTCATATATTTTTGGAATAAAAATTTAAAAAGCATAAATTATTTTAAACGATCAATTCAACCCCCCTTCTAGATCGATCACATCGTCTAACAAGTGATATCAGAGCGTCGATTTATCTGGTGCTTCTCATATTACTTTGTAGAATATAGAGAATGATCCAAAAGGGGCTTATACGAGAGCTCTTGTTTTCACCGGTGAAAATTATAGCTATTGGAAAGATTGTATTCGTGTGCATATTAATTTTGTTAATATAAAGATATGGAAAGTTATCGAGGATGGTCCTATACAAATAACCATGACCAATGAGGATATCGTCACCATACTCAAATCAGAAGCACTATGGGATGAGGAAGACGAGAAAAAGTATAGTTATGATTGAAAAGGTAGAAATATGCTTATTGCTTCTTTAGGTGTTGATTAGTATTTAGGGTTTCACATTGTGCTACTGCTAAGACAAACAAGCCCTAATTCTTAAGAGCATTAAACATGTAAGTGTTTTAGTGTTGACAATACAAGTTACAATTCTTTCACAAATATAAAAAATATAATATCATGAAAAATATATATATATGAAAAGACTGTTTTGCAAATAATTTTTTAATGGATAAATTTCTTTGACAAGGATGATACTTGATATATTATACACACAATCACACATTCCAACTTTGTTAGCCGAAATAACACTAATTACCACATATACATAGTGATAATGTATTTTACAAATAATTTATAGAGATGTGAAATATCTATTGGGAAGATTAATAATACATAACCGCAAAACAATCACGTTTGTTCATCCCCCAACATTATTGTCTTTGAAATTTATTACACTTAAAACATGCATGCATGGTTGATATAATCAGTTACCATTGTTGGAAACCTCTCCACTAACGTAACCACCGCCTCCACCGCCTCCTCCACCACGACCACCATAGCCTCCTCCACCACCGCCGCCACCACCGCCACCTCCATGTCCGTAACCACCACCATGGTAACCACCATTGCCACCATTGTAACCACCGCCGCCATGGTATCCACCATTGCCACCATTATAACCACCATTGCCCCCATGGTAGCCACCGTATCCACCGTGATCTCCGTGGTAACCACCGTATCCTCCATGGTAACCACCATAGCCTCCGCCATAGCCTCCACCATAGCCTCCGTAAACAAATTGTTTGGCATCATTTACTTCATCTGAGTTTTCAACAACCTCTGCAAATACAACAATTCTTAAACTATTTGATTATATATGTAAGAAAAAATAAAATAAAAACTAATGTATAGCTAGCTCACCCTCTTTGTTGGCATTAGTGGAAGTCTCAGTTAATGCCCTAGCTGATACCTGTGAAGAAATTAGAAGAAATATGGCTAATAGGCCAAGGATGAGGAATGATTTTTTAGAATCCATTGTACTCAAATGTATTATTTGGTAGTGAAAGATGAAAAAAATAGTAAGAAAGTGTGGTCTTTATATAATGGAAAGAAGGAGGAATGAATAAGGAATCATTACTTGGTAGTTGGGATGGAGCTAATCTGTGTTAATTAAATCTTGATTGATTTTAAGTAGTAACGGTTGGAGAATATGAAATGAAGCACTGCAGTTGTTATGTATGTTATGTCTACATGCAATTTGAGGAAAATTATAGTTTAGATATCAGAATACTTCTAGTCAACCTTAGCTATTTAGACATTTATATTCCTAAATGTGTATGTTATTTAGTTTTTCTCAAATATGTTTTCATTTGTTATTTTAATTATAAATTAAAATTAAAAAGAAAAGCAAGTGATATTTCTTATCAAGCAATATTTTTTTGTCTGTAATAGAAGTCATATATTTTCTCGGAATGACTGACAAGCAAGTGAAAACACTACAAGAAAAATGCAATTTGTCACGGGATAATTCTCTCACAAGTGGCAAAAATCCCACATAAATATAAAATTTGCGAGGGGTCTCCTCCCTTAAAAAAATAGGAGATCACAAATTATTTTGTGAGAGATTTTCCACGTCGTCTATTTGTCAAGGACTAACCCCCACTACAACATTTGTTGTCTCTGGCAACACTTTTTTAGGTAACATGTAGAAATTGTTGCCTTAAATTCATATAGGCAACGATTTACGATTGTTGTCAAAAATATGTTTGCAACCCTTGATAATCGTCGCCTAAAATACTTTTGGGGACGTTTATGGAGCGATACTCTTTTATTTTTTTGCCAACGATTGTTAATTGTGCCCTTAACTGCTTTTGGGGATGATTTTAGAGCGTTAAAATATTATTTCTTTAGCAATATTTGACAATTGTCCCCTAAAATATTTTTTTGGACATTTTTAGATTGTTACATTAATTCTAATAAAAGGCTACATTTCTGAAATTTTGTATAAATTTTTTTAGAATTATCAAATTTTTGGTGGCAATCTTCCCTCCAAAACTTATACACTAAAAAACAAATATTTTTCTCTAAACATTATTAATATATATAAAAAAAATTATTTTTCTAACACAGGAATTTAAAAATAAAAAATTTCAATTAAACAGAAAATAAAAATTATATATTTATATATATATATATATATATATATATATATATATATATATATATATATATATATATATATATATATATATATATATATATATATATATATATATATATATATATATATATATATATATATATATATTAGTCTAAAACTTATATATATTTCAATTAAACAGGAATTTTTCTAACACATTATTTATATTTCTCTAAAACTTATATATATATATTAAAAAAAAATTCATTAAACAGAAAATAAAAAATTTTCTAACACAGGAATTTAAAATATTTTTCATTACTAGTCCTCTCAATTATTGCCACGTCTTATTAAAAAGAATTGAAAATAAATAAAAAAGAAAAAGAAACAGATAAGGAATATTAAAAAGAATAGAAAATAAAAAAAAGAAAAAGAAACAGATAAGGAAAACAAAAAAGAATAGAAAATAAAAAAAGAAAAAGAAACAGATAAGTAATATTAAAAAGAATAGAAAATAAAAAAAAAAGAAAAAGAAACAGATAAGGAAAACAAAAGCAGCAACGCTCTCCAACTTCTTTTTCGTTCACACATTTCGCCGAACCTAGCCGCGCTCTGAGACGCTCTGTCCTTCATCCGCTCCGAGTCAAACCTCTTTCGTTCACACCCTCCGCCGTGTTCTTCGTCACTCCGTCCAACTGCCATGCCGTGTTTGTCGTCCACGTCGCCGTCTATTCGTCGTTCGCCGTCCAACTGCTTTCGTCCACGTCGTCCAAGTCGTCCGCTGTGTTTGTATGTATTTCTGCATTTATATTTCGATCTCCATTTCGTATGTTTTGATGCCATATGTATAAGATTTCAAAACACCAATAGTTTTCTCAATATCATACTCAAATTCTTTCTCTGTTCAACATGATACACATAACAAATAGAGATACAATTGAAATGTAACCACTTAGTGGCATGCTATGACCAATGCAATTTTATTCATACTGTAACGTATTAGTTACATTTTGTTATTCTTTATTATATTTATATTGTGATAGAACAATTTAATGGATGTAGATTTGGTAGCTGTAAGTATTTTCTTTTGAGCAATGGATCTAAACTTGGCTGTAAATGTTTGGTTTTTAGCTTTTACAATTATTGTACAAATTTATTTTATTGAACTCAAACAATTATAGGTGTGTCCTTCCCAAGGGCTGACTAGTGGGCAGCAAGTGATGGCCTCTGGCAATGTCAGTCCATGATAGACACTGGAACTCACTACACAAAAATGAAATATACTTATCATATTATATGAAAGAGATGCTAAAATTTGCATTAAGCATGTGTATTTAAATAAATTATGTTCGACATAAAAAATGAAAAGATACTTCATAATATCGAATTATGCTTGGACAATATGTTTGAAGAAGTGAAGATATCATCCTGTAAGTGGTTCAGTATCAAAAGTAAAGGCACATGGCTATATATCATCTCTGGTGTTCGAACTCTGGGGCATGCCTTGGTTTGCATGGTGGTTAACACGATAAAATCGAGGATATAATCAGTAGTGATAATGAGAACAAGTTATGAAGCAGAATGCAGTTGTGATGTACCTGTTGGTAGTCTAAACCATTCGTTCTGAGTATTGTTTCGTGCTGGATTTTTGTTCTGCTACAGAGGTGCATAGATACGTAGGGATTATTCATTGTCTTGCTTGCTATTGCGATCAGATTTCAAGGTTGATACCTGGAGGTGTCATCGATGCTGCTGTTTCTTGGTATTAGGTAGAGAAAACTTTGTAGATCCTGATTAGATTTCGGAGCACATTTGAGGTTCTTTAGAGCGCATGCTGTAAATTGGTGTTGCACTTTCTAGGTGTAGTTAATGCTGAGTTAGTATTGCAAATATTTGTAGTGGAGTTGATCTAATCAACTATCAATCCAAAATAATTGTCTTGAGTTATTTGAAGGTGCGAGAAACACAAGAAATTGAGAGTTTCTATTTGATTATATTTGAGGAAGATATTCTGAGTATTTTATAGATCAATGATGATTTTTCTTAGCTGGTGAAGTATTTAGTTGCACGACATGTAGCTTGAGAGGGGATGAGTTATGTGCTGGCTTCTAAATTTTGGTAGTATTGTTTTAGATCAAAATACAAAAGTATTGCAGAAGTAGGTCGGGATGAATGCGCATCAGGCATGGACAAGTTTGTTGAAATAGTCTTAGAGTAGTTTTAATGCATGAACAAGTTGCTCAAACACATTTTATGAAAATACCAGTGTTATAGTTTCAAAAAAGTCTATTTTGTTAGTTGAATCTATGTGAAATGAAGATAAAAAAATAGTACATGGATAATTGAGTCTTTCAAAGCAAATTGCCAAACCACTAAGTTACAATATTTATAGGCATTCATCACATCATGATGTTAATAACCTACTGTAGTATAACTATATTGATAAGTAACTCACTATGTTATGGACTTGGAAAATTATTTTGATATGCATATTAGTGGCATTACAGGTCAAGTTTTACCTCTTAGTCTGCAAATTTTGTTTAATAAGTTTGTAATTGTAATTGCATTTCATTTTCTCATTTTCTAATTATTTGTCTTTAGATCATTCACCGTCGTTGTTTCGGTTAAACCTCAATAGATATTTCATCGGTTTCAACATTGTTTGGGAAAGAAACGTCTTCGTTTCATTTACTAGCTTTGTTGTTGTTGTTGCAGTGAAGGAAGTTGTGTTGAAATCGAAGTCGCTTGTAACTAAGGACAAGCTTTTAGTTTCTATTACTGCTAGAATCAAGTTGAAAGAATTCAGGTAATAGATACATATTATATAGTTTGAAAAGAAACAACAAATACATATTATATTAGACTATGAAATGTTTGTGCATGTTTAGATTAAAAGTTCACCAATTTATTCTATGTTTGGTATTGGAATGCATGTTTAGTGTATATTTAGATTATAAATGAAATTTTTATAATAACTATGCATTTGTAAAAGCTACGTTGATATATGAACCATGGTGTTTTTCCATCCTTTATATGATAAAGAGTAATGTATAATTTATTTCATTTTAGAAAACCAAACATGATAAAGAAGGATTGGGTGGAGTTACCTCCACACAGTCAAAGTTATAAGGACGGTGTAAATTACTTTTTGGATATTGCATTCACCAAAGGAATGGTTGAAGAAGAAGAGATTTTGTGTCCTTGTTCTGTATGTTGCAATGATAGTTGGGAAGTAAGAGATGTAGTGTATGACCATTTATGTAGTAAAGGATTTGTAAAGGGATACACTGAATGGATTTATCATGGTGAAGATGAGAGTCTTATAGATCTTGATGGTGATAGTGATGATGAAACATCATCTCATGATGATATCGATGGCTTACTATTTGAGACATTTAAAGATGTGGCTTAAGGAGGTGGAGTACATGAAGGGATAAATGAAGATGCAAAGAAATTTTATAAACTAGTTGATGATACAAATCAAGAGTTGTATCCTGGTTGTGAAAAGTTTTCCTCGTTATCATTCACTATTCGAATTTATTTGTTGAAATGTCTCCATGGATGGAGTAATGCATCATTTACGGCTCTCGTAGAGTTGTTAAAAGAGGCTATGCCAGATTTGAACATCCCTGTCTCTTCCAATAAAACAAAATCTATGATAAAAGATTTGGGCTTAGACTATAAAAAGATTGACGCATGTCCGAACAACTGCATGTTGTTTTGGAAAAATCACGAGAAAGATGATTCATGTCATATTTGTGGCACGTCAAGGTGGATTGAATATCCTGAAGTTGCTAATGATCTTGAAGAATCTATAAAAGCTCATAAGGTTCCCGCCAAAGTTCTAAGACATTTTCCATTGATTCCAAGATTGAAAAGACTTTTTATGTGTTCAAAGACAACTGATACATTGAGGTGGCACGCAGACCATCGTTCAATGGATGGGAAGTTAAGGCATCCAGCTGATGCCCAAGCATGGAAAGACTTTGATGCCAAACATTCAGATTTTGCTCGTGAAACTCGTAACATCAGACTTGGGTTGGCAAGTGATGGGTTTAATCCATTTAGGACCATGAGTCTTTCACATAGCACATGGCCTGTTGTATTAACAGTATATAACTATCCGCCAAATTTGTGCATGAAGGCTGAAAATTGTTTGATCTCGTTACTTATTCCTGGACCAAAGTCACCCGGAAATGAAATTGATGTGTATTTGCAGCCACTTATTGAGGAGCTTAAGATATTGTGGGAAGTCGGTGTAGAAACATATGATATTTCAAAAAATCAATCATTTCAAATGCGTGCAGCTCTTATGTGGACTGTGAATGACTTCCCTGCATATGCTATGTTATCCGGTTGGAGTACTAAAGGGAAGTTTGCTTGTCCCGCTTGTAATCATAAAACTTCTTCAAGATACTTAAAACATAGTCTAAAGATGTGTTATATGGGTCATCGAGTCTTTTTGGATTCAAATCATAGTTGGAGATCAAATTCAAGTTCTTTTGATGGAAAGCCAGAATATAGGTCTGCACCCTCCTTGTTAGATTCGACAATGATTTTAAAAGACTTAGAAAAGATTCCTGACGTAGTGGGGCAAAAATATCATAAAAAAAGGCCTGGTCCATGGAAGAAAAAGTCTATCTTTTGGCAATTACCATATTGGAAGGATAATTCTTTGCGCCATAATGTAGATGTTATGCATACAGAAAATAACATTTGTGATAATATAATGGGGACTCTCTTAGATATTGAAGGGAAGAAAAATGATCATGCAAAAGCTCGTTTGGACCTACAACACATGGGGATTAGAAAAAAACTCCATTTGAAGGAAACAAGTGATGGTAAGAAAACTCAAATCCCTAAGGCATGTTTCTCCCTAACAAAGCAGGAGAAAACTATTTTTTGTAATGTTTTAAAGACAGTAAAACTTCCTGATGGCCTTGCATCCAATATTTCTCGATGTGTTCAAGTTAATGAAGGAAAAGTTTCTGGATACAAGAGTCGTGATGCTCATATTATATTGCATTACTTGCTACAAGTAGCAATAAGAGGGATAGGCCCTAATCAAATTGTTATCCCTTTGCTTCGACTTTGTTCATTTTTTCGGTGTTTATGCCAGAAGGTTATAGATGTGAAATCATTGGATTACTTGGAAGTAGAAATTGTTGAAAGACTTTGCCAATTCGAGCGTATCTTCCCTCCGAGTTTCTTTGACATAATGGTTCACTTACCAATTCACCTGGAAAATGAAGTCAGATTGGGTGGACCGGTTCAATTTCGATGGATGTATTATATGGAAAGATATTTGGGTGATTTAAAATCTTTTGTTCGTAATAGGAGTCGTCTAGAGGGTTCTATCGATGAAGCATACTTAGTTAAAGAATCTCTAACATTTTGTTCAAGATATTTGTCTAGTGCTGTAGACACAAGGATGAATAGAATGACACGAAATAGCGATGATACTCCAAACATAGGTCATCCAATCGGGGGAAAGAAACTAATTTCCCTTGATCATAAGTCTCTAAACCAAGCTCACGGCTACATTTTATTCAATTGTGATGAAGTGCAAGAGTACATTAGGTACACTCATCTACTTGATACAAAATTTCATTCTCACTATAAGTTTTCTTTTTCTTTTGTATTAAAATATTAGTTATTTATTTTGTAGAGAGAATGAGGTTAATGATCATAATCCTCTAAAAAAAAGGAAGTCCGAAAAAGCTAACAATCAAAGAGAAGATTTTATTCAATGGTTTGAAACACGTCTCATGGATGAGAAAGTTACTGAATGGTTGAAGGTGTTGTCTAGGGGACCAAATGATGTTGTTAGAAGGTATTCTGGT